GGCTGAAGCCTGAATGTCTATACTGTGCACTTGTTTTGCAGAATATGATGCCGACAATCCAAGAATAGTTTCAAAATGTAACCATCATTTTCATCTTTCATGTATTCTTGAGTGGATGGAAAGAAGTCAAACATGCCCAATATGCGATCAGGTCTACTTTGTTTTCCTTTTCTACCGCTCCCCCCTCAATTCCTTTTTCTATCTTCCTCTGTTTGTGTCATCAGTTTTCCAAGAAGGTTTTGGCTTATTCATTTTATTGCTCTTCGTTATCATTGCCATTTGACAACAAACCACGTTCAAGCTCCTTTGATTTCTTGATTATAAAATCCAAATGTTACTTCTTTAAAAAAAATATCATCTTGGTTGCTGAGATCCATAAAGTGAGCGAGACTGTTGATTTTCTTGATGCAGGAAATGATATATGAAGCTCTATGAAAACTAATCAGAAGGCTGGTCGTCAACACCTGCCTATACAAGCAGTATAACCACATGAGGCTGTCATTTTCACATGGTGGCTTGGCCTGTATTCACTTGTTCACTCATGAAAGTGTAAATTCTCTATGTATATGAAGCTTATGTTAGTAAATCCCGCTCTTGATGAAGATGCGAGTTGCATATATATGCTGATGGGAGCTAATTTGCAGCCGAAGAACAAAAAAGAAGTTGTAGTTTTGCATTTGATGCCTGGAAGATTAAATTCTGAAAACGCGTGTTTTTGGTCATGCTTCTTCTGAGTTCCAAGTGTTGTACAGTGAACTCTTTTTGTTGTTGTAATTTTATGTTCAATTGCTGTACAGATTCTTCTGGCAATGACATAGTCCTTGAGGTTTTATGGGCTCATTTCAATCCCTGTGTGCATTTCTGATTCAATTGCATAAGCCCTTGTTTCGACTGACATAGCAATTTTGTTGATCCTTGGCTTTCTTAGGACAAAATATTACCAAGTGAATCGTCCCACCCCACCTTTACTCTTGTTGATTTGAACCGCCAACCTTAAGTTGGAGGTGGAAAAGATGTTTACCATCTTAGCAACCCTCTCTGGTTCGTAAGTCTTGTAATTAAAGATTGACAATCATCCTATTAATATTGCACTACCTATGAGTCGGGTCGGTTATATGAATTTTTATATTAGCTACAACACATGGTGTGAGTTCATCTGCTTAGTTGAGGTGTGCTCATAATATCACCAATATAAAATGAACCTTAAGCAGATATGAGTTTTACCTGAAAAATAATAATAGCTGGTATATAGTGTAATTATTGGGAATTTATTACAACTACATAATTGGTGCCTCAATGTTGTTATCCAAACATTTCTTTGACAATGACTTCATACACCTCAATACCACTTTGTTTCGAAATACGATTATTAAATGTGTTTATTGTTATTGTTTTTTTTTTCTTCAAAAACTAAATCACACAGAATTCCTTTCTTGTCCAACACAAAATTAACTATAAAAAAAATACTTTCAAAAAGAAAAGGATTAGCTGAATTTATGAAATATCACTTGCTAATTTAAATTTGAAAATATGAATTTCATGCAAATTACACACAACTTTGATATAGGTGTTTCAGAGTTGAGAATCTTAGGCCCGCTTACGTGGCGTCACCACAAACAAGAATTCACTTATAATTTATTTATTTCCAAAACTAGCCTTCCTCTTTCATGAAAAGTTGTGATATTTATGAAAAGTTGTGAGTTTTATGAAGAGTTGCGACTTTAATGAAAAGTTGCGACTTTTATGAAGAGTTGCGACTTTTATGAAAAGTTGTGACCTTTCCGAAGGGTTGCAACTTTTCCAAATAGTTGTAACCTTTCCGATAAAGCACAATAAACATTTGTTCACACTACCCTTTATTGTCTATAAATAGAGGGATTTCTTCTCATTTTAAAACAACAAAAATTATGAACCTACTCTTCTTCTTCTTCTTCTTCTTCTTCTTCACAATTAAATATAAATATTTGAGTAGTTTGCTCTTGTTGAGTGGCTCAATGACACCATTGCTTATGTTATAGATCCTGATATATATTTTTACAATTATTAATTTATGCTTATGTTATTAAGAATAAAATAAGATGTAATAATTTTCATTTTCCTTTGTCTATAAATAAAGGGATTTCCTCTCATTTTAAAACAACGAAAATTTTGAACCTACTCTTCTTCTTCACAATTAAATATTTGTGTACTTTGCTCCTGTGGAGTGGTTCACTGACACCATTGCTTATGTTACAGATCCTAGTATGTATTTTTACGGTCATTAATTTATGCTTATGTTATTAAGGATAAATGATAAGATGTAATAATTTTCATTTTCCTTTACATTATTAATGTTTGTTACTACGTAATCTTGTATGCAAGACAATATGGTGTTTTAATTTTTATGACCGATAGGTTTTAAGTATTGTTTTATAAATTTCGTGATATTAAATTTCCGCATGAAGCGCGGGTAATTTTACTAGTTTATGAATAAATAAGGGAGAAGTCGAGAAGGACAGATCAACCAAGCTAATTTTCTATGGAAAAATCTCATGTTATTTTTTTATATTATTATATATATGTGTGACTTGTAAGTTTTAACTTGATTGTGTAAGAAATTGATTTCTTTTTTATCAATACACAAAATTTAAAATCATAATATATGATAAAGTCTATGTTTGTTAACCCTATGAAAATCGTATTAAAAAATATGGGACGCTAACACGCGTAGGGGAAAAGGATTAATTAAATGTAAACATCATAATTATTGCATCTACAAGTTATTGGAAGTGTTAAAATAATACTCTATGGTGAAGAAACACATTGGTCAAAGGATTTCACCAACTTCGATTACCTAATTGTTAAATACTTTTCAAACATTATGAAAAATCATAGCCAGCTACTCTTTTATACTATATAATAAAATAAATATATAAAAGGAATATAAAAAAAGTTTTGTTTAGTGCTTAAATCAAAAGACATGTACTACTATTTTTCATTTTTACACATTTTGTATTGACTTGACATGTTCTTTTAAGAATATTATCATCGATTTCAAATATAATAAATTTAATATTTTAATAAATACATTGAAAAATGACTATAATTAATAATAATGATAAATTAAAAATTAATAGATAAATAATCTCTCAATTTTTTAAACTAAACAAATAAAAACAAACATTTATTTTTAGTACGTAAAGAAATCAAAGTAAACGGAGGAAGTCATATATATTATATTGGAAAGTGAGTTTATAGTTGCAGGAAAATTCAAATATATTCATGTAGTAATAAAGAATATATAATGACTTTTTGACTTTTTAAGAAATGTTTTAATTATATCATATTAACATTTTATATATGTAGAAATATTGAAAAAAAGTATAAATAATTTCCTTCATATAGATAAAGTAGTCAAAGTTCTAATATAGTCTAAATAATTAGTTCAATTTGTACTACTAATATTATTCTATATTTATTGAATTGTATATGTAATTATTTACTTTGATATGGTATTTTAATAAGTTTTTTATAAATACTGTAAATCGTACCTAAATACAAAAAAAAATCTAAAATCTATAACAAATACCACAATATACTATAATTTTAATATGATAATTCAATATCTATCGTAACATGTTCGACCGTCGTGAGACCCATTAACAAGATTGTCTATAGTAAACACAACTTGATAGACTTAAAATGTTGAAACATTAATTATTAATCAATTTTTATCTAACGTAACCATTTGTATTTGTTCTTTGTCGATGCTTCAATTAAGAATCGTTAATCATCTTTTTTAGACTAACAATTTATTTATTTGTTGATATACACAAAAAGTCTTTGCTTCATGGGGTCCTCTTATTTAACCTTACTCTATTGACTTCATTATATAATTGGATAAATAAATTATAATATGTTATCCAAATTACATACTAATCGTAGATAACATTTTATTTTTGTAATCATATGCGTCAATATAGTAGCCAATCAATTTGAGACGAAAAATAAAATTAAATAACTTCATTATTTCAAATCAAACGTAAATATTGCAAATTTAGTTATAAATAATTGATTTTTTTTTATATTACTTATGCAATACATTACTAGTCTTTAAGTTTAACTCAACAAATTTGTAAAAACGCTTTTGAAATAAATTATTGAAAACAAGTTTGAACTTAATAGAAAACTGAGTGTGAATTACAAAAGAGGTTTCAATAAACAAGTTGAGATTATAGTTTCTGAGAAATATTCGAAAATATAAACTAATAATAAGATTAAAAAAAAGACACAAAAATAATAATTTATTTAATATATTCCTCTGGTGAGTGGACTTTAAGATCTTTATGTCTGCCACAATATCTCTTTTCCACGGTAAACTTTTCAACTCAAAATCTTCTTAAATGACAGTATTACCCTCAACCAATTCAATTATTCCACCATCGTACTAAGTCCGTGCCATTTATACAACACACTTTTCTTTTAAGTCCGTCCTCGAAAAACCGACATTTCCTCGATCCTAATGCATATGAGTTATGAGATGGTTTAGATTTCAAAAGTCAATTAAAAAATAATTTTATCTCAATTTATTTGTATGTTCTTTAAATATGTTAGTTCTTATGATTTATGTAGTTTCTAAATATATAAATTATTGTCAAAAGGGCAAAAACTTTAAAGATTGTATTTTCAAATGAACGATCAAGATAAATAAACTTGACTCTTAGAATTCAGATTATCGTACGTCATACAAATTAAAATAAAGAATTTTTTTTTTGTTATATTTAATAAAGTAACAATTTTCCTTTAAACTTCTCCGATTAATTACTTCTAATATAACTACATAAATTTGTATAATTTTTTTAAAAAATCTCCTTTTTTCTTAAATTATAAATTTAATCAAACACCTTAATATAAACTAAAACGGGGAGTAGAATAAACAAGATTCCTTAGAGGGGAACAAGGTTATAGCAGTAAATTGGACATGCATCCTTTATATCGTCCGTGGTGGCAGCTTTTTAGCAGATATTAGGACAAACATCACCAAAATTTTCCATACACTGAAATTTCTCAAAAACAGTACAAATATTCTCTGAGCTTTTCAATGTTTCCTTAAAAACCAAAATCTTTTTTTCTTTAGCTAAGCAAAATTCATCACCATGATTCCACAGAAAGCAATTTTCATTTTACTTTTCATCACAATTTCTATGGCATTTGAGGTCAGTTCAGAAACAGCAAAATCAAGAATGCAAAATGTAAACATGACCCATGTAGCTGAACTCACTAAAGAGTCTTTTTCAGCTGAAAGAAAGTTGGGATCTTTAGAAGGGAGCATAAAGTTTGAATCTTTGAACAAATCTAGAGTTTTACTAAGTGGGAACTTCACTGTTTTGAGTGAAAACAAGACATTTGAAGTGGGGTTTTTCAAGACTAATGATGAGAGTAAATGGTATTTAGGGATTTGGTTTGCTTCAATTCCTACCCCTACTTATGTTTGGGTTGCTAATCGTGAAAAACCCATCAAGAATCCATTTTTAGCTACTTTGGAGATTAGTGAGGATGGGAGATTAGTTTTGAAGGAAGATTCAAGAACCATTGTATGGGAAACAACCAATTTGGAGAAAGCTAGTGATGTGAAGCTTTTGGACCAAGGGAATTTGGTTCTTGTTTCTAATGAAGGTGTTTTGGTATGGGAAAGTTTTGATTTTCCTACAGATACATGGCTTCCTGGGATGAACTTGACTGCAACAAAATGGCTGACATCTTGGAGAAGTACTAATGATCCATCACCTGGAAGGTACTCTTTAAGGCTCCAACCACATAGTTATGGTGAGATAGTTCTTTTTTATAATGGTACTTATCCATATTGGTCCACTGGGAAATGGAGTGAAAATGCATTTGTTGATGTACCAGAAATGACTGTTCCTTACATTTACAAGTTCAATTTTGAATCACCTTTTACCCCTATGGCATCATTTGGATACTCAGCGGTGACATTAGAGAATGGAATGCCTCCTCCTTTAACTAGATTCATGGTTGATTTCACTGGACAGGTTAAACAGTTCACTTGGATCCAACAGGCGCAAAGTTGGAACATGTTTTGGTCACAGCCAGAGAATATGTGTAGTACTTACGGTCTTTGTGGGAATTTGGGGTTCTGTAATAGTAAGTCATTGAATCCATGTAAGTGTTTACCAGGGTTCACCCCTTTGGATGGTGATTCATGGGATGCAGGGGATTTTTCGGGTGGCTGTCACCTCGAGAGTAATGAAGTTTGTGGTGAGAATGATAGGTTTGAAGAGGTTGGAATGGTTAAATATGATGGAGCAAGGGTAGTTTCAGTTTCTGGAACTAGAAATGAATGTGAGAGAGAGTGTTTAGGTAATTGTTCTTGTATTGGTTTGTATCACAATGAGAAGACTAATTTGTGCAAGAGTTTATATGGGTCATTGCTCAATCTTAGGAATCTTACTTCCGATGGCACTGTTGAGGATAAGCTATATGTTAGAGTTCAAGGAGGAGGGAATACTCGAAAGAATCAGATTCAAGTCAGATTACTTGTGATCGAAATGATCTGTGGATTTGTGGTAATTCTGTTAGTTGGAATTGGGACTTTCTTGGTAGTTAGGAGGAGAAGAGTAAGGAGGAAGAAAAAAGATGAGGAAGATGTATTTCCTATAATGAATTTGAAGGTATTTTCATACAAAGAGCTTAATGCTGCAACAAAGGGATTCTCGGAGAAGCTTGGTCATGGTGGTTTTGGAACTGTGTTCCTAGGGGAGCTATCGGATTCTTCACTCGTAGCTGTGAAGAGACTTGAAAGACCTGGTGGTGGTGAAAAGGAATTTCGAGCTGAGGTATGCACAATAGGGAACATTCAGCATGTTAATTTAGTGAGATTGAGAGGATTTTGCACTGAAAATTCTCATAGGCTTCTGGTTTATGAGTACATGTCAAAGGGTCCTCTTAGCGCATATTTAAGGCGAGATGGTCAGAATCTAAGTTGGGATGTTAGATTCCGAATTGCTGTAGGGACAGCAAGAGGTATTGCTTATTTACATGAAGAGTGTCGCAATTGTATAATACATTGCGACATTAAACCAGAGAATATTCTGCTACATGAAGATTTTTCAGCAAAGGTTTCTGATTTTGGACTTGCAAAGCTCCTTGGTAGGGACTTTAGTAGAGTGTTGGCAACCATGAGGGGTACCTGGGGCTATGTTGCACCCGAGTGGATCTCTGGATTAGCGATCACAACGAAAGCTGATGTATATAGCTATGGCATGACATTATTGGAACTGATAGGTGGTCGACGCAATGTAGAGTCACCACCTTCAGCTAAAGGCGAAGAGGGTGGAACAGAGGAGAAGTGGTTTTTCCCACCGTGGGCAGCACGTCAAATAGTCGAAGGAAACATTGCTGCAGTTATGGATGAAAGACTACATGGAACGTACAACCTCACGGAGGCAGAACGTGTGGGATTGATAGCTATTTGGTGCATTCAGGACGATGAATCAACGAGGCCTTCCATGGGAATGGTGGTGAAAATGTTGGAAGGAGTAGTCGAGGTGACAACGCCTCAACCTCCGAAGCTGCTCCAAGCATTAGTATCTGGTGAATCATTCCATGGGGTAGGAATTGATTCAAGTAACGGGACATCACGAGACGGAGGTTTCAGCTCGGGTTATAATCCTCAACGTTCAAGATATTCAAAAGACTCTCAAGCTTCAAGTTAGGTCTGCTTCTCAACTAGTATGCAAGTTGATTTTTCCCAGCTTCACTGAATGTAGAGTTCTTTTTTATTGTCTTCAAAATCCCACTGAGAATTAGTAGCAAAATGCTCATCATGGTATTTTGTAAAATGTATCATGAATATAGAAAATCTTGTTTACTTTGCTTAAAAATTGTCACTTTTTTTTTTTTTGTAAATTCCAAAGAACAAAAGCAAAACAAAACATACATTTCACTTTTGAAGGAATGTATGTTTGGATCAGAGGGTCGGGGCAGAGCTAGTAAATTACACTATTGATATATGGTTAAAATATTTTTTACGTATATATAGTAGACATTGAACCCTTTAACTTCTTCGTGTGTTTACTTCTTCATATTTTGAACTCTTTAATGAAAATCCTGACTTGCATAGGGTTATAGGAGAGGGCTTCCTAACCTTAGAATGAGACGGTAGTTGAAAATATCAAAAGTTATAATAACGGAATTATTTAATGGATATATTTTTATTGGTAGATATTTTGTATAGTGAACTTAAAATGAGATATAAGATATAGGTGTATAATATAAAGCATTAAAACATGTGTTTGGATTATACCAACCAAACATTATGCAAAATTTTATACTGAGATTATTTTTGTTACTATGGTAAACCAAATGACTATAATAAGAATATACCCTCTAACCTAATTTAATGGGAGAGTTAATTTTATTTTTTATAAATGAGTGTAACGTTTGTACCTGCCCAATTATAACCACACTTTACTTTCCTAAGTTTAATTTACATAACTGTCTTGACTACAACAATAACAACTAACCACTTGTCAATAGTTTCCTCTTTTGTAGCTAAATAATATAACAGAAATTGAAACAAGAAAGACCATATACTCACACAAACAAGCAAACAGAAAAAGGAGAAATGTTTTCCTAACTTGTCAACTTTAGTAACAAAATTTTCCCAAAATTAATTTTTTCAAAAGAGTGTAAAGATTGAGGGGGTTAAAGAAAATGGTCAAAGGAGAGCAGAGGTAGACAACTCTGCACTCTCACCAAAGAAGTTTGTTACCTTGGAAATGGAGACACCTGGCAGTTCAGGTGGGGAGGTGCCGATATATGGGGGCTCCTCGTCTATGGAGCCGACTGAGTTACACTCGGCTCCATCTACCATGCTGGCAGATTATCCGCCAGTACAAGGCTTTCAAGATTTGAAGAACTTGGTTAGCATGGAATCTGGGAAGTTATGGACTATTGCAGGTCCCATAGCCTTTAATATTCTGTGTAATTATGGGATTAATTCTTTCACAAGTATATTTGTTGGACATATTGGTGATGTAGAACTCTCTGCCGTTGCCATATCTTTATCGGTGATAGCAAATTTCTCATTCGGATTCTTGGTTAGGTTCTTTTTTTGTTCTTACTAATTCTCAAAGTTCTGTTCTTCTTTATATTATGTTATATGGGCATTGAGTATTCATATAGCCGACCCCAACTTGCTTGAAATAGCGGGATAGTTGTTGTTATTGTTGTGGTTGTTTGTAAAATGTAATACAACGAAGATATGTTGGATTTTGTCACTCTTTGATGAGACTTATGACTATAGATCACAAATAGTTTATTATGAAACAGAACTAGGATTTTGATTGTCAAATGATATAAAGTCTCAAAAAGGTTAGAATAAGCATTCTTTTAGGTTATTGGTTATGTTAGTTTTCTAATTCTTCATCTTTTTTTTGATGGATTATCAGTTAGGCATGGGTAGTGCACTTGAGACACTTTGTGGACAAGCATTTGGTGCAGGCCAAATAGAATTGTTAGGAGTTTACTTGCAGAGGTCATGGATAATACTTGTTGCTTCTTGCTTCTGCATAATGCCACTCTACATCTTTTCCACGCCGATACTGAAGTTATTAGGCCAAAGAGATGACATAGCAGAGTTAGCTGGAAAATTTTCGATACAAATCATACCTCAAATGTTCTCCCTTGCTATCAACTTCCCGACCCAAAAGTTCTTGCAAGCACAAAGCAATGTCGCGATCCTGGCATGGGTTGGGTTCATGGCTTTAGCCATGCATATCGGGGTGCTCTTTCTTTTTATCAAAGTTTTCCGATGGGGCGTTACTGGTGCTGCTGCAGCCTATGATGTTTCTGCTTGGGCTATTGCTCTGGCTCAAGTGGTTTATATTGTTGGCTGGTGCAAAGATAGTTGGAAGGGGTTGTCTTGGTTGGCCTTAAAGGAACTTTGGCCCTTCGTAAAGCTTTCTGTTGCATCAGCAGTGATGATTTGCTTGGAGATCTGGTATTTTATGACTATAATTGTTCTAACTGGTCATCTTGAGGACCCCGTCATCGCTGTTGGATCTCTTTCTATCTGGTACAATCTTGCAAATATGCACTTAAAATTTATAATGTGTTCATAATTGTTCTGTTTTTCAAGCTTAGATTCTTTCTTCTTCATTGTTTCAGTATGAACCTTAATGGATGGGAAGGCATGTTGTTCATTGGAATTAATGCAGCAATAAGGTATACTACTACTCTACTAGTTATAGTAGGACATTGTCAGTGCACAAAAGTTAAACTCTAACGAATAGTGTAACTGCTAACGGTTATTTTCATTTGTTGATATTTCAGTGTTCGCGTTTCCAACGAGCTTGGATCAGGCCATCCTAGGGCTGCAAAGTATTCCGTCTTCGTCACAGTAGCTGAATCTCTCATGATTGGGATATTCTGCATGGTACTAATCATATTAACCAAGGACCATTTTGCATTGCTTTTCACAAGCAGTGAGAAAATGCAAAAAGCTGTTTCTAAGTTGGCATATCTTCTTGGTGTTACAATGCTGCTTAATAGCGTTCAGCCAGTTATATCAGGTACCAAAATATGTGTGTTTCTTACTCAAACAATTCTCCACACACACATCAGTTGATGTGCCAATCAAATAGTAACTATTTGGTACAAATCTATGTTGCTTGGACTCTTCAAAAAATGTCAATGGGTGTGTGTCGGATTCTCGATTAGTAGAGTATTGTTGAAGAACCCGCACAATCAAAAGTGAAGAGTCCGCGCAACTTTAGGTACAAACTCAAAGAATAAATTAGAATGTTTCTAATATTGAAGGTGTTGCTGTTGGAGGAGGATGGCAAGCACTAGTGGCATACATTAATTTGGCTTGCTACTATGTCATTGGCCTCCCACTTGGGTTCCTCTTGGGCTATAAAACAAGTTTGGGAGTTCAGGTAACAACATAAATCTTCTTGTATTAATTTAGCTCCGGTTTGACCATAGATTAGTAGTTTAAAAACAAAGGTATACTAAATTGTTCTTTTACTTGATCTCAACTAGACATCTTTGCCCTCCAATTCTGAGTCTGCACAAGTAGATACGTAAACTTATATAAAGTTGAACAAGTAGACACATGTGTCCTATATGACATAATGAAAATCAGTTTGGGTGTGTCTCACGTGAATTGACACGTAGGACACATTTATCTACTTGTTCAACTTTATACAAGTTTAAGTGTCTACTTGTGCATACCGAAAGTTGTAGGGCATATATGTCAACTGAAGTCAAGTTAAAGAACGTTTATGTATAATTTTGAACATTGTTTGTTCATGAAATTTGGTCAGTTTTCTAAAAATATTCAATTGAGCTAGTTTTTGGATGAAATTTCACGCCTACTCACAAAACAAGTAAAATGCATATCCAAACATAACTTCATATTCCAAAAACTATTGTTCAACACAACTTCAAAAACTCACTTTTTCAAGTTTCAACTAAATCTATGGTCAAAACTCAAACTCAAACGTTAGCTTAGTTTTAAGTTTAAATTTTAGCTGGAAACTTTGATATAACGATAAAGTTATTTCGAATAAACTATTGATATTTGTATCCGGATAAATTGTCTACATTACACTAATTGTCTCTTCATTTTTTTTTTCTCTTTTCTGTAGGGAATATGGATGGGCATGATTTTTGGAACTTTTTTGCAAACAATAATTCTTTGTGTTATCGTATATAAAACCAATTGGAACGAAGAGGTAATTATTTTCTTCATTAAGATAGTAATTACATATTCTAGAAATAATCTTTTTATTTTATTTCATTTTTGCAAATTTGAATTTAAGAGTTATTGGCTTTTTACCAACCATATAATTGTAAATAATAAAACCATTTTGCTTTTTTATTTCAGGTGGCACAAGCATCAGAAAGAATGAAAAAATGGAGTGGGATATCTGAAGAATCAGACATTAAATAAAATTCATATCAAATTTAGAAAATTATATTATTGTTCAATTGGCCGAATAGAAGATCGATACAAGAAGTCGATGTTTTTGGTATAAATATTTATACGAATTCTTAATTGTTTGCGATAGATACATCAAAGATAATTTTAACCTTTTTATTTTTGTTCTTTAGGTCTACTAGATGAAAATGTTAATGTAAAGCTAGATTTATTTTCACATTTTTTTTGTTTTAATTAAGGGTGAGATATTTTGGTTTACGTAAAATTCTTCCTATTCTAAAACAGTTCAATATATTTGATACTTTCTCCTGTCCATCTAAATATCGTTTTAGCTTAAATAAATTCGATAGATTTATAGATTTTTATAGTAAAGCCACAACTTTATTGTGTCATTTACAAATCTAAACACTATTCCTTTTGGTGAGCAAATAGTCAAATACAAGTCATAGTAGCTGGAAAATGTATAATATATAAGCTTAAGTCATCTACAGCTCCTTAAAATTGTTCGGATAATTCACTTGAACACTTTAACTTAGAACTTTTACCTATTAGACACTTCAATATTAACGAATATTTACCTATTGAACATAAAATGACAATTAGCTTTAAAAATATTGTGTGTGTAATTCACACATATTATCTTGACAAAATCACGAATAAAATTATGACACGTGACAAACTGACCCAAAATTTTAATTTTGAAAAATAAAAATTAATTTTCACCCTTTAATAATCTAGAAAACCCATCTAACCTATTGCCCTTTCTTCTTCATCTTCTTCCATGTGACTCCGCCATCGCCATACACCATTGATTCCTCCGGCGAAAACAAAAAAGAAAATACCTATCCCACCCCATCCCGAATACACCCACCTAATTCTCTCCTCTTTCTTTTTCTTCCCCTGTTACTCATTATATTCTATTCCTTCGGTGATTATTGAGATTTTTGTAAAAAATATTGACGTCCATAAATTATTTTGAAATCGACAATGAAGAGAAATCAAAAGTATCAAAAAATGTTATATCATTTTTATTAAGTTTAATGAATAATGATGGTTGCTCAATCCGAGTTATTGAAAATAGAGATGCACAAATGTCGGTCAATTTTTTGACTCCAATGATCGATTTTTTTCTACTTCTTGCAAATTCTGTAATTTGTTTATAACTAAAAATGAAGAAAAAAAAGAAGAAGAGCCAAAACGAAATTTTAAGTCATTAAAATTGTGGGTTGAAGAAGAAGAAGACCGGTACATGGGTGTGGGGGTGGGGTTATTTTAATTAAAAGATTAATGTTTAATTAAATTTGAGAGTGAACCTAATTGCTATACCTTTGTGTCACCACTTTGTGAGTGTATGAATCAAACTTGGCACCATTTGAGCCTAACCTTTTTTTTGGATGAAACATGAACACAAATGTGTAAGCCGGTTGTTGAAATCATTGTGCTCTTCCCACCTATAAACTTCGCGAAACATTGGTTTATTTGAATAGCCAAATTAGGGCAAAAGCCTATGTTGGGGTATGGTATGAATGAGGAAAGAAACCGAGTAAGAAGTTATTCATTTATTTAGTCGATGCATGTCATGGAGGTACAAATTTATTTTAAAAAGGGAAAAAACATAAATTCTCTCTTAGATTTGTTTCAAAAAGTCAGTTACACGCTTAAACTATTATGACAACCTATTACACATCTTTACTACTTAAAAGTGAATTTAATTACCCCTAAAACTGATGTGGCAAAATAATTTAAAATAAAAATAGGCCCGTCAAATTTATTAAAGTAGAAAAAAAAATCAAAATTCAATTAGACCCCAACCCACTCTCCACATCTCTTCTTCTTCACAACCCACCCTCCTCCTCCTCTGTTTCTTCTTCTTCAACCCCACCCTCTTGAAGAAGCATATTTTTCTCCTTTTTATTTTAAGCAAAAATCTCTCTTTCTTCCTTCATCGACTTCTTCTCAGCTTGCTTAGCAAATTACTTATCATCAATCTAAGTTTTGTGGATTTTGATTTGTGTTTGTTAACAAAAGATTTCTTAATGTCATCGGCGGGATAAAATTTTGGGGGTTTCTTAGCCATTGCAGCTATGGCGGGATTTTTTGAGAGAACATGAGAATTTTCCATTCCATAAATCAGCTCCATGTTTCGATTAGTGTTCTTGGCGACCATTGTTATAATTTTCATCCTATTGTAATTTTGCTATGAAGAAAATATAATTATTAGAGAATTTTAATAATCAATTGGAGATTAATTAGTATAAAATCTAGTTAACAAAAGAAAAGTTAATTAAAAATAAAAAAGAATATGATTTTTCTTAATTTCTGACTTGGCGCTGACATGGCAGCGAGTGTAATACATCACATATTGTGAGAGTGGTGTTACACGTCTCAGGGGTAAATAAATTCACTTTTAAATAAAAAATGTGTGTAATAGGTCATCATAATAGTTTAAGCGTGTAACTGACTTTTAGGGACAAGTTCAGGGGGAAATCTATGCCTTTTCCCTTTTAAAAAAAAACAAAAAACAATGCATTCACGTGCTCAATAGCTATTGAGATACACTTATTTTGCCACATCAGCGTTTTATATTTAATA